CAGCAGCAGCAGCAGCAGCAGCAGTTGCAGCAGTTGCAGCAGAAACGGCTGCCCCTTTTGGATGTACACCAAGAAGCAGCAGCAGCAGCAGCTGCTGCTGCTGCTGCTGCTAATACAACGCTAGAAGCCTAAAGAAGAGCCTCAACTAAGCAACAATGGCAGGCTGCTGCTGCTGCTGCTGCTGCTGCTGCTGCTGCTGATATCCGTGCTGCTACTGCTGTTGCTGACACCGTTTCTGCTGCTGCTTCTGCCTTTGCTTCTTCTTCTGCTGCTTCTGCTGCTGCTGCTGCTGCTGCTGTATGACTAAATTATATTTTTAGTGCACTAAGCAGCGCAGCACATTGACAGCAGCAGCAGCAAAACTTGCGTTGCTGCTATCTATTCGTCTCCCTCTGTCTCCTTTTTGTCTCCTTTTTTGTCTCCTTTTCTTTTTTTGTCTCCTTTTTTCTTTTTATTTTTTTTGTTTCTTTTTATGTCTTTTTGTCTCCTTTTTGTCTCCTTTTTGTCTTTTTTTTTGTTTTTTTTTGTCTCTTTTTGTCTCTTTTTTCTTTTGTCTCCTTTATGCCTTTTTTATTTATTTCTTTTTCTTGTCTCTTTTCTTCTTCTTTCTTCTTTGTTGTCTCCTTTCCTTTTTTTTCTTCTTTTATTTCTTTTTTATTTTATTTTATTTTATTTATTCTTTTTTTTCCTTTTTATATACCCTTTATCTGCATGCATGTTATCTATGCATGCGTGCATGCATGCATGACTGCATGCATGCATTCCTTTAATTAAATTATTATAGTTCCTTTGTCTTGGGGCTTTCTAGCCCTTCTGTTTGTTGCTGTTGGTGCTGCTGTTGTTGCTGTTTTGTTTGCTGCTGTTGCTGCGTTGCATCTGCTGCTGCTGCTGCTGTTGCTGCTGCTGCTGCTGCTGTCTAATGTATATAGTTGTTTTCTTTTATATAATATTAATAAACCTATAACTATGTATATATCTAATGTAGCAATGCGTGCATGCATGGGCTCCTGCAACTGCTGCTGCTGCTCCTACTGCAGCAGCAGCAGCTGCTGCTGCTCTTCGTGCTGCAGCCGACAGGCTGCATTGTTGTAGGCACTCTCTTGCTGCTCGTGCTAATCTCTTTCTTCCTTTTTTTTCCTCTCTTGCTTGTTATTAGACCCTACTAGGTCTCTTCTTTTATATATTTATATATTTAATATATATAAATATGCTGTATGCATGCATCTAACAGTTGATGGTTTAGGGTTTAGGGTTTAGGGTTTAGTGTTTGGGGCTTGGAGGTTATAGGGCCTCTTGTTGTAACACCCGTGAGGGTTTAGGGTTTAGGGTTTAGGGTTGTGAGTGCGTTGCGAGGGTATCCATGGAGGCTGTAGGGTTTATGGTATAGTATTTTAGGGTTTAGGTGTTTAGGGTGTAGTGTTTAGGGTTTAGGGTGTAGGGTTTAGGGTTTAGGGTTTAGGGTTTACGCTCGCTGTGCAGACAGGGCAACACCCGGTGGCATGCATGCCCGTGTATCTGTTCATCTTCTTGTTGCTTTTTGTTGCTATAAAAAGGGAATAAAAAGAATAAAATAAATAAAAAAGAATTATTAATTAAATTAGTAAATATAAAAGGATATAAATTAATAATTAAGGGGTAATTCTTGCTGCTGCTTTGTGAGGGTTTAGCGGTTGGGGCCCCTTCGCTGCTGCGGGCTGGAGCAGCAACAGTACCCACTAGGGGGGCCCCCGTGCTTAAATGGGGTGTATTTTTGGGGTTTTTACGGCAATTAAGTTGTTATTTTGTTTGAATATATTTATTTTATTGTTTGCTGCCTTTTAAACCCTAAGAATTGGCCATTTATGAGGGTCCAGGCGCTGCAGTCTGCCTCTCACGACCCTTCTCTATGACCCGACCAAATTAGGGTTTAGGGTTTAGGGTTTAGGGTTTTGTAAGGATCTTACAACCCTTCCCGCTGCTCCTGCTGCTCTCCTTGATTTTTATCTCTGCTTCCTCCTTACACAGCAGCACGACACTGTTGCAGGGGTGGCTGTTGGGTGGGGGGGGTGGGGATGCAGCAAAACCCTAAACCCTAAACCCTAGTAAACCCTAATAAACCCTAATAAACCCTACCAAACCCTAATAAACCCTAATAAACCCTCGACTGCATGCCCTTCTTTTGCCTGCTGTTCCTTACCCTCCTTCTTGTTAACACACAGACAGGCAAACCCTTGCAGTCTTATCCGTCTTGAGGGGCCCCTCAAGGAGTAGAATGGTTGCTGCTGCTGCTGCTCCTGCAACAGCAGAACGACTACGAGCAGCCGCAGCAGCAGCAGCAGTAGTAGTAGTAGTACTAGTAGCAGCAGCAGCACGCGGTGTAGCAGCAGCAACAGCCGCAACAGGCGGTACAAGCAGCAGCTGCTGCTGCATCAGCAGCCGCTGCAACAGCTACATAAGCAGCAGCAACAAAAGCACAAGCATCAACAACAGCAGCAGGCGGATGAGTAGGCAGCAGCTAGCAGCAGCTGCAGTTCTTTTATTTATATCTGCGCAGCAGCAGCAGCAGCAGCAGCAGCAGCAGCAACTGAGTATTTAGCCCGCAGGAAATTACAAGACATCCGTCTTTGCTGCTGCTGCTGCTGCTGCTGCAGTTAATACATCAAGATGCTGCCGCAATTCCCTCCTGCAGCAGATGATGCTGCAGATATGTATCATGCCCACTACCAGCAGCAGCAGCAGCAGCAACAGCAGCAGCAGCAGCAGCAGCAGCAACATGTGACACCGCGATCTGCGCTTATGTTTCAACTTGCTTCTTTCCTATATGAAGAAGCCCATCGTTTGCAGCATCAAGAACAGCAGCAGCAGCAGCAGCAACAGCAGCAACAGCAACAGCAGCAGCAGCAACAGCAGCAGCACCTGGGTAGATTGTTGCATGCAGCAACAGATATACACCGTCAGCTAGTACAAGAAGGAAGGGCCCCCCCTAATGTATGGGGGTCTCCCTTAGGTATAGAGGCATCTGCATATCTATATCCCCCTGATGCTCTTGTCTTACCCTACAGCAGCAGCAGCAGCAGCAGCAGCAACAGCAGCAGGGGAAGGGGATATGTATGGCAGGAAGAATGGGCCCCGCTGCGGCATTTCCTGCTGCAGCTGCTGTCGTTGCTGCAGAAAGGTTCATGTCCTCCGCTGCAGCAACTGCAGCAACTGCAGCAGCTATGCTTCCCTTTCCCCCGTGCTCCTCGTTCCTTCTTGCTGCAGCAGCTGCGGCGGCGGAGGCAGCAGCTGCTGCAGCTTGAAAAAGCTGCTGCTGCATCAATGAACAGCAGCAGCAGCAGCAGTAGCAGCAGCAAATGCATGCACACTGCAGCGGGTATTCGCTGCTGCTGCAACCGTCAAAATCGCAGCAACATGCGCAACAGCAGCAGCAACAGCAGCAGCAGCAGCAGCAGCAGCAGCAGCAGCAGCATGGGTTTATTGAATGGTGATACAGATGAGAGTGGTGTATCCTTTGTAGGTTTATGTGCTGCTGCTGTTGCTGGCAGCAGCAGCAGATTTGCTGCTGCTGGCTGTCCTCGTAATTTGCTGCTAGCAATACGTGATAGGAAACGTAACGTGGAGTGTACGTACAGCTGCGGTGGAGGTGCAGCAGCAGCAGCAGCAGCAGCAGCAGCAGCACGAGCCCAAAGATGGGGTCTAGATGCTGCATGCATGGGAGTAAGCCCATATATATGTACAGGAACAACATGTGCAGCCCCAGCAGCAGCAGCAGCAACAACAGCAGCAGTATCAGCAGCAGCAGCAGCAGCAGCAATATCATCATCATCATTAACAAACTCTCCCCCATCAGCAGCAGCAGCAGCAGCAGCATCAGCAGCAGCAGCAGCAGCAGTAGATACATCTATATTAACGAATCCTTTATTGTCTTCCTCTGCTGCATATAATATAGGCTGTAGTAGTACATATGCATTAGAGTCTCGTGCTGCTGCTGCTGCTGCTGCTGCACCTCCTTCTCTATATCTTGCTGCTGCAGCACGTATACACCGTATAATTAATGTATGGGGACACCAAGAAGAAATTAATAATCTGCAGCAGCAGCAGCAGCAGCAGCAGCATATACTTCCTGATCCTACACCTGTACATCTTATTAGATTCATGCACTCAGGTACATAATCTATTGCTGCTGCTGCTGTTCCTGTTCCTGCTGCTACTGTTGCTGCTGCTGCTGCTGCTACTGTTGCTGCTGCTGTTGTGGTGCTGATGGTGTTGTTTTTGTTGTTTTTATACGTGTATAACAACTCTTGCTGCTGTTGCTGCTGTTCTTGTTTCTTTTGCTGTTGTTGCTGCTGCTGCTATTGCTGCTGTTGCTGCTGCTGCTGCTGTTGTTGCTGTTTTTCTTGTTGCTGCTGCTATTGTGTTCTTCTTATTATTATTATTATCTCCTATTCCTATTACAATTCCTCATATTCCTTCTCCCTTTCTGTTGTTATTTCTGCTGCTGCTGCTGCTCTTTCTGCTGCTGTTGCTGCTGCTGCTGCTGCTGCTGCTGCTGCTGCTGCTGCTGCTGCAGGTGAAGTATTATTAACAGCAGGTATGGATGGTATAATAAAAGTATGGGAAGTTTCTTCTTGTCAACTTTTATATCCATTAATTAAACATAAAGGGGATATAACAGACCTGTCTGTACACCCCAATGATTCTCTTGTTGCTTCCTGCTGCGGTGAAGGTAAATAGACTATTAATGCTCCTGCTGGTGCTGTTGCTGCTGCTGCTGCTGTTGTTGTTGCTGTTGTTGTTGCTGTGCTGCTGGTGATAGGCGATACACCGTAGGGATGTCCCTCTTGCAGCAATAGTATATATATAACAGCAGCAGCTGCAGCAGCAGCAGCAACAGCAGCAAGAGCAACAGCAGAAGGTACTCGTTGAATTATAGTTATTGATGTTGCTGTTGCTGCTGCTGTTGTTGCTGCTGTTGCTGCTCAGGACACGTAAGACTATGGAGGTTGCTGCCTACATGGTGGATGGCTGTTGGGTGTATAGAGACAGGCAGCAGAGTAACATTAGTAAGATTTATATCTGCTGCTGTTGCACCTGCAGCAGCAGCAAGTGCAGCAGCAGCAGCAAGAGCAGCAGCAACAGCAAGAGCAGCATCAGCAGCAGCAAGAGCATCATTAGATACATTAGAAGATCCATATGATTCATCTGGTGTAACAGCAGCAACAGCAGCAGCAGCAGCAGCAGCAGCAGATTTAGCAGCAGCAGAAGAAGCAAGAGAAAGAGAAGAAGGAGAAGCAGCAGCAGCAGCAGCAGAACTTCTTGTTGTCTGCAGCGACAACGATATACGCCTATACTCGCTGCAGCAAATCTTAGCAGCAGCAGCAGCAAAACCAGGAGCATTGCTGCATGTACAACCTCTGCAGCAATATTCATGGGGAAGTAAATTCTTCCCTCGTGCTGTTGATGTTACTAGTGTAAGCAGCAGCAACAGCAACAGCAGCAGCAGCAGCTGTAGCAGCAGCAGTAGCAGCAGCAGTAGCAGCAGCAGCGGTTCTTTAGCTGTTCTTGTTATTTTTGTCTCCTTTTTTTTTGTCTCCTTTTTTTTGTCTCCTTATAAGGTGTCTCCTTTTTTTTTGTCTCCTTTTTTTTTGTCTCCTTTTTTTTTTCTCCTTATAAGGTGTCTCCTTTTTTTTTTGTCTCCTTTTTTTTTTGTCTCCTTTTTTCTTTGTAGGCTCCTTGTGGTGCTCCTTGGGGTCCATTAATAGCATTAGGGTTAGATGAGGATTCGTCGGACTCGGATGGAGACATGGAGGGGACAGGCAGCAGCAGCAGCAGCAGCAGCAGCAGCAGCAGCAGCAGGGATATTGTTGGGATCGGTGGGATCGATCCCCAATATCTTGGACCCCACACATCTAGTTCTTATCTGCAGCAGCACCATCAGTATAACCGTCACCATTATAGCCAACTGCAGCAGCAGCAGCAGCAGCAGCAGCAGCATGACCAGCAGCAGCAGCAGCACCACCGCAACAGACGCCAGAAGGGCAGCCATACTCTCCTCTTCTGTGTCCCCTCAGCAGCAAAAGTTCAAGAATTACGCAAAAAGGAGACACCCCAACTATTACCTGTATTCGCAGATCTATCAGGCAAGTCTCCTGCTGCTGCTGCTGCTGCTGCTGCTGCTGCTGCACTTGCTGCTGTTGCTGTACTTGCTGCTGTTGCTGCATTTGCTGCTGTTGCTATACTGTAGGTTTATTGTATATATTTTACCTATTGGTATATATATACACACACACTGTGTTTAGGGTTTAGTGTTTTCTTAGGGTTTAGGGTTTAGGGTTTAGGGTTTAGGGTTTAGGGTTTAGGGTTTAGGGTTATGTGTTGTATGTATGCAGCATATCATGGATCATTTCCTGACGTATGTTTTGCTAATTTATCCATGGATTTAGCTACGGTGTCTGATGATGGTGCGCTGCTGCTGTGGCGTTTATCTGCTGCTGTTGCTGCAGCAGCAGAAGCAGCAGCAGCAGAAGCAGCAGAAATAGCAGAAGCAGCAATAGATACAGCAAAAACACCGGAAGAAGCAGCAGCAGCAGCAGCAGCAGCACAAGCAGCAAGAAATATAATATATAATAATAATCCTTCTTATTATGCTCCTTCTTCCTTAGATACAAACAAAATAAAAAAAATATACTTATTGTCTCTTATACAAGAAAGAATAAATAAGGGATATTATAATAAAAAAAATATAAAAAGAAATACTAATAGAAGGAGACATATAGGTAATTTATTTATATATTTATTTATTTATTTATTTATTTATTTATTTATTTATTTATTTATTTATTTATTTATATATTTATTCATGTTTATAGGCACATTATTATTATATATTTATTATTATTATTATTTATTGTCCCCTTTTATATCTATTCTTGTCTGTCTTCTATTAGTATTT